AAACCCTAAACCCGTAAACCCTACCTCCCCATCAGCCCAACCAATACTTGACAGTCCCCGTACTCTGGCACTAGTAGGTACTCGAAAAATGGATCCGTATAGCAGTCCCTACACAATCCCTTCCGACAATTCCTTACAATAACTTCCTTTATCTGTGTTAAGCACTACTAAACCCAAAACCTCCAAGAAATAAGGTATAGGCTTCACTGCCAGGCCCTACTCAGCGGCCTTCGCTATTTGTCCTTCTGTATAAGCAGCCGGAACCCAACATCCATCTAAAATAGGGGGGGCCCTATATAGCCTGAAAATGGTAGGATCTCCAGTTCACGGCCCTCCTCAAAGGCGCCTATGGGTTTCAATAGCTCCGGATAACGTTGCAAGCAGCTTGACTGAGAGTGCTTACAAAACCCTAAGACATCAATTCCTGCCTCATGAGACTCGAAGTCCACACAATCCCGCTTGCACTTGCACCCTCAACCCTGGAAATTCCCGCGCCCTGAGCCAAGCGCCAAAGGCCCAGCTTGGCTACTCTAATAGACTATAACAGACTGGAATATACTATAGTATAGTATAATCTACTCCAATATACAACAGTATTCTCTCATGTACTATAACATACTCTAATATGCGAAAATATACTCCAATAGACAAGAATATACTCTAATATACAATCACATACTCCAATATACAAGAACATACTCTAACATACTATGATATACTCTAACATACTCTGGTATAGAGCCCAATCCTAGAGTCCCGTCTCCCCACAATTTCAAGTTCTGGGATATGATGTGATAGGGCTTATGCGATTAGAATGGGATTCTGGGGTTTAGGGTTTAGGGTTCGGGGTTTAGGGTTGAGGGTTCGGGGTTTAGGGCTCTGGGTTTAGGGTCAGGGGAATTTTGGGGTATTATGTTATATCGGTGAGATAAAACGAGGATGCAAAGGAGATTAATGCTGGTAGCTTTGCGGGCCTTCTATGATGAGTTTAGGATTTGGGCTATGGTTGAATTATGGTTGCTCTGCACACTTCGAACCCTGCAACACGTACTGAAAGGTTTCAAAGCATAGGCTTATACCCCAATCCTGAAACCAAAGCCCCAACACTACAACCTGCCCTAGAGCCCAAACTCAAGTGACGCCCAGGGAACTGAAGCAAGTAGGAGAAAATCTTCGGCATTTAGTGAACCAAGAATCAAATTGACGGCTTCAAAGGTTTGGTGGCCTCTGGATGTAGATGACTAGGGTTTAGATACAGGGCTTGAGTCAGATACCTCAATGATGGAAACCCCTTAGGCAAAGTTTTAGACTCCTCAATGATGGAAACCCCTTGGGCAAAGGCTTAAGCGGCTGTCCCCTACCTTGAACCATAGATTGCATGTACTTTGGCATTCTTTGAACACTGCTTCACCGATTATGTACCGGCTTTTGTAAGAAACCCTAAACCCTAACCTTCAAGCTTGCATCCTCCCCACTGGCAGCACTGAATGGGTATAAGATCCATTACAGTGGGCATGCGCAAAGGGTTTGGCCGAACGCTCAACCTAAACCCCAAACCCTAAAAAGTAGTTCCCATTTTTCCACTATCCCCATATGCCCCCTCCATTGGACCCCCCATATAATCCCGAAAATCCCTGTAGTTTCCATTTTCTTTCCCATTATCCCTATTATATTGCTCTATGTAACCCTTTGGGGTTGGGATGCCACCTCTTTGTTGAAAGTCTACATCACCTGGCAGGTATGGAGGCCCGGGGCAAAGAAAATGAGCAGCGCGAAGCCACGAGAGCAGTGACATCTGGATTCCTAAAGTGGTAGACCTTAAAAGCGACCAGAAGTTTAGCAGGTCTTAAGCAATATCCCTGTTTTGAAGCAGTACTTCCAGGCGCTGGAAGCGCCTGCCCTTCAAATACTGGGACACCATGCTTGTTCGGGATCCTTATTGTTGAGATCCGCGAGCCAGATGATCTTTCCCCATCTGTTGGCTCTACAGTGGATCCTTTCCTTTCTGGCTTGCTGGCTACTTGCCCTATACCACCGGCAAAGATGTTGGGGCTCTAGCAGCAAACAGAACTCTTAAAAGGCGCCCCGCCATGACAAGTCCTAAATAACCCATATGGATTAGACTCATGAAAATCCCTGACTTAGCTTTGCAGGGACTCATTTCTCCCGACAACCCCGGTGAGCCCTATCCTTAACAACTAGCACTAGCACACTATCCGTTAATTCAGTAACCCTCACTATCCCTAAACCCTAAACGTTCCACCCTAAACCCTAACCCTTCCACCCTAAACCCTAAACCTTCGACCCCTAAACCCTCAACCCTACACCCTCAACCCTAAACCCTCAACCCGCCCCAAATCATAGCTTCTCATCTTCCCGCTGCTTGAAATGTGACTCTCTGTGCGCTGTGCTGCCTCAGAAGAACTGCAGCAGCTCCTTCGGCGACGTGTCTTCTTGAAGGTTTAGGGTTTAGGGTTTAGGGTTTAGGGCATACTCCGATTTAAGTAGATAGAATATGGCTTTGGGTAGATTATAAACGGATCCCCAAAATACCCCATATCCCTACACCCAAGACCTTAAAAGCTCAAACTCTAAACCTCTAAATCATAGATTCGGGCATCTGCCGTGGACAGGCCTCTCGGATGAATCCATCTACTGCTCGATTGAAACCTGGGAGGGGAGCCTATACTGTACTTGTACAATGACTCTTGGGCCATGGTCTTTCTCAATATCTAAGCCATGGTGTTCTTGATATGTTGACTCGTACGTTTCTGCTTCTAAAACCTGATACCCCCCAAAACCCAGACCCTTCCAACCCCTGATCCCCAACAACACTCCTTGGAGCCCGAGATGTAGTTCTTCAGGGAAGTGATGATGCGCTCGTTGCGCTTGTCTCCGCGGGGCTTCTGAACGCCGCGCCTGGGATGCACCGGTTGTTAACCTGGTTCGGTATTTGGGGGAGGGTTTCGGGTTCAGCATAGGGAAAATGGAAAAATTAGGAACCTGGTTTCTTATTGGCATGCCACTTAATCACCTCCCCCTAAGAACGAACCCATTCTCCTCATATTGAACACTCTGACATGAGCTAGAATCTAAACTCCTAGTATCCCCTCAATAAGCCCTATAACACACCCCTATATAATCCCCTATATAACGCCCCTGAAAGAGGTTAGCTTATGGCTCATACAGTCTATACCCTAAACGCTATACTTTTATAATGGCAACATTTACTATTTTCGGGGCGTTCAGGTGCGTAAACCCTAAACCCTAAACCCCAAAGCCTAGACCCTAAACCGTGTTTAGCGGAGAGATTGACACTTACAGCTAGGGTTTGGAGTTTATAGGGTTTAAGGTTTTGGGGTTTAGGGTTTAGGGTTAAAGATTTAGGGTTTAGGGTTTAACGTATGAATCATTCCACCACTGATCCAGCAACGAAACTTGAGCCCCCCAATTGCAAAATTGCTTCTGAGCTCCGGGCACAGCTCTTTGTCTACTGCGGTTCTGTTTTTTGGGGAGATCCGGCTTTGTGTCTTCAGGGTGCAGCGAAGGAGAAAGAAAGTGTTGGAAATTCTGGAGTCCTTACCTTATGTACTTAAAATGCTATACAAAAGCTCAACCCCCCAAAGTATACAAGGATCCCCTATCCTCAGCACACTGAGGCATTGATCGCCATAGCGTGAATGGACCTCCACTCAACTCAACAAATCAGCGTGCGGGCGATGTTGCGCTCTTTTCCATTGAGGGGGTTTAGAAAGGTAGGCCTCAGGAACGCGCAGACCTATGCCTACCACAGCGTCGTACAGCTTTGGAACTACATTCTGCCCTAATCTTACCCGCAGGCCCTGCGCTTCCTTGCTGCAGCCATCTGTGATTTCTGAAGCTTTGCTAACTGGCCCCACTAAGACTCAGTGCCCCCTCCCAGCAGGAGGCTGCCGCAAGATGTCGGGGTCCAGTTTAGGGGCCCTTGAACCCCAGTCAACTCTCATGTCTGACTCTGTGAGCTGCAGATGAGTATTTTCAGCCTTCGTAAACCTCAGAATGCACGCAATGACGGGGTTCTGAAATTGAAATAGCTGCAGCCTAAGATGATCCAGAAGCCCCAAGATAGATCATTTTCATTCTCTGTAGGACCAGGCCACTACAGACAATCATGAAGTCGCACTTCACCCACACGTGATGTTAAAGCCAGGAATCCCAAATCCTACTGTTGATGCTCAAAATCCTGCAGAGTCCTGGTATACAAGAACACCAAAATTCCCAAAGTATCCCAGGCACCTAGAATCATACCCTTGACCCTCAACCCTAAACCCCCAACCCCTAAACCCTAACTAAGCCCTCCACCCCCAAAACCTCTAAAGCGAACCCCAAGACATAAACCCTAAACCACTCATACCGGATGTCAAGTAGTTTCCATTTTCTTTTCCATTCTACCTATACTTAACCCTGTCAGGTAACAGCCTTAAACCCTAAACCCTAAACCCCAAAACCCTAAAAACTTCAGGTCCCGCACTTGGTCACAGGGAATGGGACGTCATCCTCCCACTGGTACTTGGCCTTGTCCAGGTTAAGGGTTTTAGGATTTGGGGGTTTTAGGGTTTTAGGGTTTAGGATTTAGGGGTTCAGGGTTTAGGATTTGGGGTTTGGGGGTTTTAGGTCTAGGTTTTAGGGGTTCAGGGTTTAGGGATTAGGGTTTAGTTTTAGTTTGGTCACTTGGGGTCAGAGGGCTGGATCGCAATGTTGGTTTCAGGTGCAGGGTCTCCGGAAATTAGGGGCCTTTCTGGGGAGTCCCCACAATAGGGGTTCGAGTTCAGTAGGGTCTATATTGGAATCCCCTGTTTCGGAATCCTCCTATGCCCTAAACCCTAAACCGTAAACTTAAGGTTTTGGGGCTGGGTTCGGAGCTTTGCTCGAAAAAGTGGCGGCGCGCTTCTCAGCTTTCGCGCATGACTTACCGCGATCGCGTTTGGATGTGGATTTTAGTTCGGAAAATATTTTTCGTGGCTTTCCGCGAAAAAAAAAGGAAGAAACCACGCTAGCCATGGATCATGTGGGATGGCCCCATAGCTTTGTTGTCCCAACCAACATCGACTGGCCTGAAGCTCAGGCTTTGAGTTTTAGGGTTTAGGTACAGGGTTGGGCTTAGGGTCCTGGGCCTTGGGTTTTAATGGTTCTTCGTAGAACAATCCCTATATAATATATTCCCTCAATCCCTACAAACCCCCAGTAAGCTTATATCTGCCCACCATAAGCCAGTCCAAGTCCATGAGTACACTGTGGCAGAACTTGATGCTTTGAACACGTGAGCTATAGTCTAAACTCCTAGTATCCCCCTTAATTAGCCCGATTATAGGAACCCTACATAGTCCCCTGTATCAACCCTTAAAGGAGTTTAGACTACAGACCTTGTAGGCGATGGGCCGAAGGGGTTTAGGCTGGGAAAAAAAGCTCCGTATGTTCCTTCTCCTTGCTTTTTGCTCACGCGCTCGATAGTGCGGAATTTTGTTATTTTCAGCTTCACTTCAGGGTTGGAGTGGGCGGGGGGCCAGGTGGGGTTGGGGGTGGGGACCCTATATCCTAAACCCTAAACCCCAGCCGTCGCATAGCAAGCTGCAGCAGGGTCAGCATTCCCCAGCACCAAGGCTGAGTCTTCTTCAGCATCGCATGTTTCCAGCGCAGAAGTGCTGAAGAAGCAGTACAGTACTTAGTTTCGGGTTTAGGGCTTAGGGAGTGATCATAAGGTCCCTAGCTTTACTTCAAGTTCTGCGCTGTTATCAAAGCCCCCTACCTCCAGCCCTGACTCTCACTGTTGATGAGCTGCATAGCTTCCCCTGATTATTCCAATCACCAAAGACAAATGAATGTGACCTAGAAAATGGAAATCAAACTGAAACCCTCAAACAAAAATGGTCTAAATGAGACCTTCAAAGAGGCTGAAAAGCAACATGAAACCTTCAAACGACGTGAAAAACAACATGCAACTTTTTAAGGAACAAAAATGAAACCTTGGGAGAAACTGAGTAGCGAAATGAAGCCTTGAAACGATCTAAAGAATGAAAACGGGACCCCACAAACTGAAATACCTTGCCTTCTAACCCTTGTGTCAACCAACAATGAGCACGAAACCAAAGGAATTACATGATCTTTTAAGTTTCGTAGCAATTCTGACTCCGGCCGCTAGGCGCCGCGGCGTCTCGAAACTAGTACGAAACCACAATGGGAAGCTGGTGTTCTCCGGGAAATCGTTTACTAACAACTATTGCCGACATCAAATGTAATCCGCAAAACGCTCACGAACATCCGCGGGGAATCAGAAGACGACCAACAAAAAAGTCACCATGAAATGCGCATTGTCGCTCAAAGGTGGCCTGCGCCAACACGACAACGTTACCTTGCTTTTGGCTTAGAGTCCGTAGCGCTCATGGGCAAAGACCTCGACTGCATCGATGCAGAGTACTGCAAATTCTGAACACATATCGGAGGTGTCAAGGACTCATGCTATGTTAAAACCGCATCGAATGATCTCAGTCATAGTCGGACAGCCTCAAGTACTTCAACACCATATGTTGCATATGGTACTTATTGCTTCCGTGGCAGGTTCTATTCACACACAGAAATTGCATGCTCGCGTTGAAGCCCTCGGCTGTACAAGAGGACAGGGCAAGCATGAATGGCTAGAAATCTATTCTCCCAAAATGCTGCCAGCAAGATTAGGACAGCAACTGCTAATCACACTCAGACACTGAACCCTAAGCCCTACACGCCCCGCGTTGAACGCTAAAGCTCGAAACCTAAACCTAACCCTCAACGTATAGTCGTGTAGAAATCCGCCCCCAACCCCCGAAGTACGCTCATCCCTGCGAGAAGTACCCCCCCAAAAAAAACACACACACACACAAACAAACAAACATGGATACTGATCTTGCAAACCACCCAAATCTTCCTCAAACTCCTCTCAGATTCACCTGGATCATCAGGCGCTGCCATCGCTGTGTGGCGGCCGCAGTCTTGTCGTCCATAATGTCGTTGATGATGTTGGTGGCCTTTGGGGGAGGTTTAGGGTTTAGGGTGTAGGGTCAAGGATTGAGGGTTTAGGGCTTGGACCCTAAACCCTAAACCCTAAACCCTGGGGTTCAAATCCAAAACGGGCGCCTTTGCTTCCAATGTGCACATGGATAGCCTGGCGCACGTTAGCATACAAAACAGGCTACAAGGCCACAGCCTAAGCTGTAGATCCGAATATCCTTGATATGAGCTATAGTCTAAACTCCTAGTATAGTATCCCCCTTGATAAGCCCTATAGTAGTCCCCATAGAATCCCCTGTATATCCCCCTTTAAGGAGTTTAGACTAAAGTTTATTTGCCAGCCTCAGAGCTATAAACTCTAAACCCCAAGCCCCAACTCCTTGGAACTGACAAGCTCGCAACCCCGAGCCCCAAAGCCCCAACACCGCAATCCTAAGCCAAGACCAAAACCCTAAACCAATGCCTGCACCCAACAGTAATTATGAAGACCATGGGTGTGCTCTACGCTTTTCGTCGGTTCCGGGCTATTGTTCTGCCTCAAAACAATCACCAACATCTCGGTCCTAGATTCCTCTTCTCATTATGGTACAAGGTACCTCGGATCGACCTCAGAATGTCTAGCCCCTGTAGTAATCTTGGGGCCCACCCTAAACCCCAAACTCTAAA